CATACAGTCATAAGTGTACAGTAGTGTACGCGTAACGGAGTCCGAATGTTACTACTACAGAACTTGGATCTTCCACTCAGTGACCTTGGAGGGTTGCTGCGGTCCTGCGGCAAACAGAACGCTTTGTCTGACTAAGTATGGCACCAAAACTGTACTCTGCTCCTTTTGTCTGTGTATGTACGTTGCCATGTCGCTGTGTCCATCCATTCGTCTGACCACCTCTGTCTCTCACTCTCATCTTCTCTGCCTTGCTCCCTCTGCCAATGCAGGTGTGACCGGTACACTCGTCACGACCCCATCAAGGTCGCCCAGTCGGCAGAGTTTGAACAGATCTTCATGTGGCTGAACTTGTCCACTGAAGAACTGGAGAAGTCCAAGTTGCAGATCACTCTTTGGCTCAGACCCTTGTACTCGGCAGAGAATGGCTTCCCGGCGCCGGGCAGAGGCAAACGCTCACAGCCACTTCTTGTTGGTCTGGTAAGTGCAGTGTGCAGTGTTATGTTATGGGAATAGCCGTTATGCACTTTGACATCACGTACGAAATCCCGTAGAATCCCGTAGAATCCCGTAGAATCCCGTAGAATCCCGTAGACCTGGTTGCGTGTTGCATGTACAGGACCCTATTGTGTTATCTGTATTTTCGATTACGAAACGTTCTCTTCAGGCATTTCATGCAACAACTTTTTTCGGACGAAGATCTAGCTAGCCATTAGTTCTATCCAAACTGATGAAGCTGGAAAAGGGACTGTCTGCCACTAAGTGATGGGCTAAATTGGTTAAATGCTCATGTATAGCACACGGTGAACACCCAGCCACACATGTACATACCTAGGGGAATTCATACATCTGTACGTGATGATGTAATGTGCATAAGGCAGGGGCGTCGGACACGGTACGGTCACTACGGTATTGACCGTACCACTATTTGCCCCAACTACCCGCTATGAATCAATAAAGAAACTTATCTGGGATCTACATTTCCAAAATTTTCGGCTCAGTCACCTCTCCCCCATGCATGAGTAAATTATACTTCAGATGGCTAACCGTACCACACTAAAATACCTTCCGATGCCCCTTTAAGGACTATACGCGCTGTTCTCGAGGTCCGTGGTTTCTCGTAAAAAGCAAAACAAAAAAACGCATTTCAGCATTTCTTGGTGGACACCTATCAACTACAATGTGCTTATCCATCTCTGCAGGCACTCTATATTACTGTAGTGTTGAGTATTGACTATTGAAGCCAGCGTGCGTATTCCTGTAGACGGCTATGCTATTCAAATCAGGCTTCTATTCAAACCAGGTATTTCTATGTATGTCAGCCCTACAACCAGGCTTACGTACCGACAGCGTATCTTGAAAATAAGGCTTGTATTCAAATCAGGCTCCTATAAAAGACAGCCTTTTAACCCTCTAGCGCCCAAGATAAGACACGTCCTCCGATATGACACCATAACAGAATGTCCGTAAAATTTTGCGAGCTTGAAAATCGGGCAGGGACAGTCACGTGTGACACACACTCACGCCGATATGCCAATATTGCGTATATGCCAGGGCTAACTAGGCTTTGCTGTGCAAAGCCCACATATTGCCTGAGCAAGCTACAGTATGGTCTTGACGCACTGAGACTTGAGAGAAGAATGATGGGCAATGCTGGGAAGATTTGGTGACAATTCAAGTCGTGTTTGCAGCAAGGAGACAATATGGGAGGAAGAGAGCAATTTATGAGTACTAGTATACTCAATCTGCGGACAGAACTGTTTCGTCCTTTGTGGACTCATCAGCGCAGCGCAAAGAAAATGAGGCCGAACCTGGTAGCAATGAAAAGTAAAATTTCCAAAGCCAGATTTAAACCAGGCCCGAAAGTATCTTGCCAGAGTTCTCAAACTGACAAGTCAGTGAGCTCTGCATAGCGCAAACAGCAAAGGCACTACCCCACACGAGAGTGCTCAACTGCTACAAGAGCAGGAGCAAAATACTCAATCTGAGGACAGAATTGTTTTGTCCTTAGGATTACTAGTACTCATAAATGCGTGGTTTGGAGCTTGCAAACAATTAAATATTTCGTGCATAGAAAGCGGCTCTATAGCAACATGCATGTCACTCACTGGATATACCCTTGCGATACCAACCTGCTCTGCTGTATTTCATACCCTTGCGTTACCAACCTGCTCTCCTGTATTTCATACCCTTGTGATACCAATCTGCTCTCCTGTATTTCATACCCTTGTGATACCAACCTGCTCTCCTGTATTTCATACCCTTGTGATACCAACCTGCTCTCTTGTATTTCATAACCTTGCGTTACCAACCTGCTCTCCTGTATTTCATACCCTTGTGATACCAACCTGCTCTCCTGTATTTCATACCCTTGCGTTACCAACCTGCTCTCCTGTATTTCATACCTTGCGTTACCAACCTGCTCTCCTGTATTTCATACCCTTGCGTTACCAACCTGCTCTCCTGTATTTCAGACCGAGATTCCACTGACGACAGTGCCACTGAACGACATCACATTCATGCTGTCGTTGTTCCCCGGTGCTGGCAAAGATGTCTACGTACCAGATATAGCCGCCAGTGGGGCTCAGCTACTGGACGGGGAGCTATCCTCTTCCTCCTCTGAAGAAGAGGACGACAGTGAGGCCAAAGATGAATGCGAGCAAAAAGGGACCAGCGTAAGTGGAGTTTAGGGTGGAGAAGGCAGTATTGTGCTTGTGTGTGTGTGTGTGTGGGGGGGGGGGGGGGGGGGTGCATGTGTGTGTGTGAGTGTGTGTGTGTGTGTGTGTGTGTGTGTGTGTGTGTGGGAGGGGGGGGGGGGGGGGGGTGATGCGCGTGTGTGTGTGTGTGTGTGTGTGTGTGTGTGTGTGTGTGTGACAGAGAGAGTGTGTGAGAGTGTGTGTGTGTGGGGGGGGGGGGGGGTGCATGTGTGTATGTGTGTGTGTGTGTGTGTGTGTGTGTGTGTGTGTGAGAGAGAGAGAGTGTGTGAGTTTTGTGTGTGTGTGTGGGGGGGGGGGGGGGTGCGTGTGTGTATGTGTGTGTATGTGTATGTGTGTGTGCGTGTGTGCGTGTGCGTGACTTTGAGTGTGTGTGTGTGCGTGAGTGCGTGCGCGCGCGCGCGCGTGTGTGTGTGTGTATGTGTGTGTGTGTGTGTGTGTGTGCGAGACTCTTCCTGACTTTTCTTTCATTCTCCTGGGTGGTTACCAACAGCCAGTGCATGCCGGAGTATGTGGTGTGATGTGTGTGTGGGAAAAAAAAATTTAATAATAAAATGACCAAAAAGTAGGGATTCACTGGCCAGAAAAAAGCCACTTCATAGCTGTGTGGTGTAGACCAGGCTGAATAGTGGCGGTCAATTCTTCAGCCGTGCAAGCTGTTGAGTGGTGCAATCCCAGCACAAGCTGCTATGGCTTCTGCTGTAGCATCGCTATCATCGCCTCCGGCGAAGGGCGTCCAATGGTCCAATGGTGTGTGCGTGAGTGTGTGCGCGTGTGTGTGTGTGTGTGTGTGGGGGGGGGGGGGGGGGGGGTTGTGTGCAGAATGTACTGTACATCCATGCCAATGAATTTGTATATGAACGTGTATGAAGGCGTACGATCGTCATTCAATGCGGCATTGTCTGTCCCCAGCCGTGTGTTGTTGGGAGCGAAACTGCTCAGCCATGCTCCGTACGTCTACCCTTTGCTAACAAATATGGCAGCATGGGTTGAACGTTCAACACCCACAGCAAACAAATCTGGGCGTATATTTGGAGCGGGGAGCATGCTTTTGCTTGCGGCCGGTTGTCTGTTGGCAGTACAAGAGAAGAGCTGTTACAGCATCGGTACGAATACAGTAAAACCTGGTTAGGAAGAACCGACTGATAAGACAAATGTTTGCTTAAGAAGAACTGGTATCCGTAACTCCGTTGGATAAATCACCGTGTATGCACTGGGTATAATATACGGATAAGAAGAACTCCCGTTATTGCAAACAATTACCATCGGTCCCTTGGTGTTCATCCTAAAGAGGTTAAACTGTATAGGGTGGAGGCTGCTGTTGCTGTGGTGTTCTCACCTTTGTTATACTCGTCAATTCGGATACGAGGGAAAATATGCATCCCTGCTGCTGTGTGTATACATAGATATTCCTGTGTGTGCATAGGAGTTTATGGGTTTTTGTATGTGCATGTGTGTGTCCTCGCGCATGTGTGTGTGTGTGTGTGCGTGTGTGTGTGTGTGTGTGTATGTGTGTGTGTGTGTGTGTGTGCACATGCATATATGTGTTGCTGTTTTGTTTCAACCCATACAGTGGATGCCGGGAGCTCTCGGCAAGGTAAGGCTTGTTGCAGAGCATGTAGCTATGTGAATGCATGACAGGAATCTGGTTCTGTCCGGTAAAGCATGGCGGTAATCCGTAGTTGCTATCGTGGTGCGTTTGTTTGAATCATCTATCCGCCTCCCCATCTGTCCATCGATCCGTCGGTGAATCTATCTTGTTTGTGTGTCTATCCGTAGGTGTATCTATCCATCGGTGTATCAATTTTCTCTGTCTGTATCTATCTCTCTGCATATCTATCAGTCTGTGTGTGTCTGTATCTATCTCTCTGCATATCTATCAGTCTGTGTGTGTCTGTATCTATCTCTCTGCATATCTATCAGTCTGTATGTGTGCAAATGAGTACTGTAAGACATGTATACAAAATGAGGAAGTAAATCTAACGTTTTAACGGATGACATTTCTTCGTTATAATAAGATCCGTTTAGTCCTTATGGCTTCATATATGTTGTGTTTTGATATGGCGGAATACTGCAAGATCGTTAACATATCTTTTCGTGAACCTATGAATTTTGGACAATCGTTAAATTATAACATGTCTTACAGTAACTTCCCGATGTCCGGCAAAGTGCTCAATGCACAAAGTGCAGAGCGTTTCAAACGAAGAGAGAGAGAGAGAGAGAGAGAGGTCAAGCCTGTTTGGATTTGTCGTAACTGAAAGTTTCATGCTACTGCAATTATCCCTGATCCCTGTCTGGATGATTGCAGTAGCATGAAACGTTCAGTTACGACAAATCTAAATTGGACCTCTTTCTCTCATTTTTCGTTTATCTGTGTATCTATCTGACGGTGTATTCATCTGGCGGTGTATTTATCCGTCAGTGTATGTATATGTCAGTGTATTTACCCGTCAGTGTATTTATCCGTCAGTGTATTTATCTGTCGGTGTATTATCTCTCTGTGTATTTATCCATCAGTGTATCTATCGGGCTGTGTGTCTATTGGTCTGTGTATCTTTCTGTCTGTGTATTTATCTTTCTAGCACACGAGAGATGAAGCTAGTTGAAAATCTGATGAGGCCTTTCGTACCATTACTCTTCAAAATCAGCACATGGTGTTAATGCCAATATGCTGTATAAATTCACATCGTTGTGCTTCGTCACATTATCACCATGTACTGATTTTGAAGAGTATTGGTACGAAAGGCCTCATCAGATTTTCAACTAGCTTCGTCTCTTCGTGTGCTAATATGTTTCACTCTGACTAAGTCTCTATTTATCTTTCTGCGTATATACTTGTCGGCGTATTTATCCTTGGGTGTATCTATGCATCTGTGCATCTGTCTTTCTGTGTATCTATCTCTGTGTATCCATCATTCCCGCCGTCTGGGCCAATATTTCCCCCCGATTCTCTCCATGCTTGTGCAATTGTGCATTTTTGAAATTTCGTTTCTTCGCAGAGCAAGTTTGGCCTGTTTGGTGGCAGCGGTGGAGGTGGAGGTGACAAGCCGGAACAGGAGACAGAGAAACGACGTCGCCACAAGCGACGCAGCACCATCAAGGTGGTGCAGGTAGGTTGCCAGTGCAATCATCACCACCACCATTTCACTTGATTACACTCGGACGTCTCTAATCCGGGCACCTTGGGACCGGGCACTGCCCGTATCTCAGATTTGCCCATATCTCAGGATGACTCATCTTCCATGTATCATATCATTTTTTGAAGAGGTTTATTTGGCAAGTATTGCACATGTTCAGGTTACAGAAAGAATCCATTGATAAAAATGTGTGGAATGTGTGGATGTGTGGTTGGCAGTGACAAACAAGGACCTGCGCATACGAAAAAGGTTCAAACCCCCCAAATTCAAAGCATTTTTGCCAAAGGAACTCAAGCTGAAGGTGCCCGGTAGAGAGACGTGCCGGTATCTGAGGCGTCCGTATAAGAGGCATTTGAGTGTACTTCCAGCACAACGAAATAATAATATTGATAATAACACAGAAAACAAAATTGAACTATTATAGAAAATCTAAGTTAGAGAAATAGCACTAAGAACAACAGCAGTGAAATTTACAAGTGTGAATTTTAACAATGAAAGCGAGAGCAATAACAAATGTGTGTACTAACACTAAACTTGCAACTGAAAAGTGAACAAAGAAGAGAAAGTACAACGAAGATTCCTGATGAGTGTTGATAATAACACAGTTCGCATTTAGCCCAAGTGAAAAACATGGAGCCAATGCATCTGTCTGCAGGAATAGGGTGAAACATTCGAATCTGACGTACAATTGATAGTAGGTAGTAGCAGGGGCTAGCTGGACAGATTCAGGGAACATGGGAAGCTCACCGTGTTTTGCTGTGATGACCGATACACGTCTCACGAACATTGTTTAGGAAATTCTAGGATTCCTACTTATTGTTGTATTTCGTTATTGCTACGTAACTGTCCAGACCTATAACTAGATACTATAGTTACAGAGGTTATGTAACTACATCATCAGTTGAGATGCTTTTATTTGGCACAGCGCTGCACTTGCACTAGCGACTAGCGCTGCATGCTTACCGCTCATTCGAAAAACTGCAGACGTACCCTGTGCATTTAGCGCCCATCAGAAAGTCCGCTGACACACGCTGTATACATGGCGGCCATTAGAAAATCCGCTGACTCACCCCATGCAATCATTCGTAAAATCTCTATGGTCTGTTTTTGTCAGTGCTCCCCTTAGGGGCCATCCGTGAATATCGAACTTTTTTCACCAAATGAATTATTTTAGTTTGGACCCAACCCCTCCCTCCCTCCCTCTCAGAACGTAAAAAAATGTTGACATAATACATGCAAAAGTCGCAAGTGTGTCACTGCTCCTATGTACATGTACATGTATCAGTGTTTTCTGAAACGAAATTGGTCAACCCCCTCCCGCCCCGTAACGAAATTGGTCAAACCCCTCCCGCCCCGTAACGAAATTGGTCAACCCCCTCCCGCCCCGTAACGAAATTGGTCAACCCCCTCCCGCCCCGTAACGAAATTGGTCAACCCCCTCCCGCCCCGTAACGAAATTGGTCAACCCCCTCCCGCCCCGTAACGAAATTGGTCAACCCCCTCCCGCCCCGTAACGAAATTGGTCAACCCCCTCCCGCCCCGTAACGAAATTGGTCAACCCCCTCCCGCCCCGTAACGAAATTGGTCAACCCCCTCCCGCCCCGTAACGAAATTGGTCAACCCCCTCCCGCCCCGTAACGAAATTGGTCAACCCCCTCCCGCCCCGTAACGAAATTGGTCAACCCCCTCCCGCCCCGTAACGAAATTATTTTGTTTCGTGAAAAAAACTTCGTTATTTGTGGACGACCCCTTAGTGATGTTCTATTGACTGTACTTGTCGGTTTGTACTGCAGACGGAGGTACTGAAAGGCGGCAGAGTTACGGCCAGAGCCAGCTCCCTGAAGTGGACGCTGGAAGTCTATCAACAGGTGATACGCCGTGAGAACGAGGAGAAGATCAAGGAGGAGGAGAAGAAAGCGCAGACGGTGAGCGCGAGGGAACGCACAACACTGTGATTCCTGTTGTGTGTTAGCCCAGCGGGGCTTTTTGAATTCTTTATTCTCACGACTGCACCGTCGCCGATAAGAGCCTTTAGCAGCCATGCTGATTCACACACACACACATACAGATACAGTGGAATCCACTCAGAACCAACTCGCATAATATAACGAATTTCGTCATTATAGCGACATGTTGTCCATGTCCCAGTTTGAACCCACAGTGTAAGTTCATTTCTGTTTTAAAGAACAAATTCTCCTGTCCAATGGTGTTGGTTATATCAGGAGTCGACTGTTGTTAGACTGTGTTCCATTGAGCTGTAGTCGGCTCACCACAGTGGCAGTACTTTTAGTGACCCACAACACACTGCTAGGGATGATGCGTATGTGTGTGGGGGGGGGGGGGGGGGGTGCGTGCGTGCGTGCGTGCGAGCGAGCGAACGAGCGTGCGCGTGCATGTGTGTGTTTAGTTCCTCTGGCATTGTCGTAGAGACAGCGAAACCTTCCCAGTGGCAGTCCCCAGCGCCAGTGTCGGGCACTGTACAACGCACAGATGCTAGTAGGGTGTTTGGGACGCAGTCAGGTGCGGGGTACAGTCAGACCTCGCTTAACCGCACACATCCGTTCTCCACAAAATATCCGGATAGGCGAGGGAACCGGATAATCGAACACACATACTGTATGTATGCATGGCATGTGCTGTATATCGGTAACCAACGATTTTCTTCCGGATGGCGAGGGATCCGGATAAAAGAGGACCGGATAAGCGAGGTCTGACTGTACTCTAATTTCAGAAATTTTACGTGAACAGAAATTTTCGGTACAGAGAAGCAGTTCCCTATTGGATTATGTGTGTTAGTGTTTGTTCGGTGTATTGAAACTTTAGGTATGAAACAGATGCACCGAATGTTCCGAAAATAGAAGTACACCGACAATTTGTGAAAGTAGAGTACACAGGCCCGGTGGAACCAGTCTGGTTGGTCAGGCCATGGCCGCCGGAGCAACTTGTTTACTGCCGAGGAGGCCATGTGTACGCCCATGTACTGCACAAACTGTATGGGAAGTGTGAAAGGCTGTGGTGTGGTCAGACCAATCAAAAACTGCTACCGCCAGTCCTGGTACTACATGGTGTTAAGCAGTACCAATGTCTTATGTGGTGACGGTCAATGAAACAATATCATTTTTGAATGCCCTAATTCCAGGACTAATTCCACGCACGTGTGCATACATGCGTGCATGTTCGTGTGTGTATGTGCTTGTGCATTTTTCGTCCATGTTTGTGTGCGTGTGTGTGTGCGTGTGTGTGTGCGTGTGTGCGTGTGTGTGCGTGTGTACGTGTGTACGTGTGTACGTGTGTGTGTGTGTGTGTGTGTGTGTGTGTGTGTGTGCGTGTGTGTGTATGTGTGTGTGTGTGTGTGTGTGTGTGTGTATGGGCATGTGCATTTTTCGTCCATGCTTGTGTGCGTGTGTTTGTCTGCCCACAACATGTCCACCGCCATTCTTCTTCGTGAGCAGAAGCGCAAACTAGAACTACTGGCGGAGCAAGAGACGGCCCTGGAGGAACGCACCGCTACGCTACTCCAGTTCCGTAAGGCCGAGTCTAAAACGCAGAAGTCCTCGCACCTACTCAAGTTTCTGGCAAGTACTCCGACCCCCAGTGGACGGACCACACCAGTTGCCAAGGTAACCATGTGTGTTGTGGTGTCGCACAGCGAGACCGTTATCTTGTCTTTTTGCTTGTGATCATTGTTTTGATTTGATTATTGTGTACGCCTGGCTCTCGTTTCTAGGTGTACCGTCCTCGTTTTGTGATCCTCGTTTTGAGATCCTCGTTTATGTAACTCTTGTTCATGTAGCAATTGTTTGTCTTTAAAAAGGCGGCGAGGTGACAACAGTATAAGGATTGCAATAAACAGCACCAGCTGCAGCGTCATTTCACGAGGGTTTTATTGAGGTGTCACAAACAAATTCTAGAGAAAGTGCTTCTTCATGCTGGGTTGGTGATTTTATTTTTGTGTGTGTGTGTGTGTGTGTGTGTGTTTGTGTGTGTGTGTGTATGTGTGTGTGTGTGCACGCGTGCGCGCGTGTGTGTGTGTGTGTGTATGTGTATGTGTGTGTGATCGACTGGGTAGAAGTGTATGTGTGTGTGTGCGTGATGGACAAACCTATGACTGTATTTTTTTTCACATTACCTTTCCATCATAGTTATGTCTTTGTCCATCACCACTTTCACTTTCTCTAGAATTTGTTCGTGACATCTCAATAAAACCTTCGTGAAATGACGCTTCAGCTGGTTCGGTTTATTGCATTCATTACTTAAATTGTGAGTATGGCACTCATTCGTCTAGTTTCTCAATCTGGTTAGATGGACAATGTTCTCAGAGTGTGAGAACTTAAACTTATAAAGGTTGTTTTCACTTGTCCGGTGCCAAATCTGTGTGTGGCTACCAATCAATGCCGGAGGCAGCTTCTATCCGTCCTGTGACTAAAATATGTGTACACAAACTGCTCATGGCATGTGGACAGTGAAACCAGCATGGCTGACATCATGTGACCCAAAGATGCAGGTGTTGAGTGGAGTTGTACCCAACATGGCTGTCCTGTTTGGTCATGTGACCCATAGATGCAGGGATTGAGTGGAGTTGTAACCAACATGTCTGTCCTGTATGGTCATGTGACCCATAGATGCAGGGGTTGAGTGGAGTTGGAGCCGACATAGCTATCCTGTATAGTCATGTGACCCATAGATGCAGAGGTTGAGTGGAGTTGTAACCAACATGTCTGTCCTGTATAGTCATGTGACCCATAGATGCAGGGGTTGAGTGGAGTTGGAGCCAACATGGCTATCCTGTATGGTCATGTGACAGATGTGAAACTTCTATCAAGTGGTTACTAGCTGACCGAGTGATCACGAAGAGCTTTGCCGCAAGGTGTCATCCAACCACTGGGTCACAGCTTTACAACCTGTCGCCTAGGGGTTGGGTGACATGCCCCCCCCCCCCCCCCCTGCAGAAGGCTGTTGTGAATACAAGGCAAGTATTCATGCCGGGGCATGTGCCACATAAACCTGCTATTCATGCTGGGGCATATGCAATAAAAAACCTGCTATTCATGCTGGGGTATGTGCCACATAAACCAGATTTCTAGTAATGTGTGAACATGTTCAGTGATACACTAAAACTCCCCAGATCCGGACGTCCGTAATCCGAGCACGTCCGTGTACCGGGCACCACTCTGACCCATCTAGAGTCACAAAATGGCTTTTCAAGGAAAAAAGAAAGAAAAATAGAAGCCCCGAAACAGTCGTATTGATTGCATAAAAATATAATTCGACGGGTTCGCGTACCGGGCAGGTCAAGAACAAGGAGTCGTACAACTCCCTGGTCAAGAACCACCTTTCCGCTTCCGTGGGACGCCACCATCCCATGATCAGGCGTCAAATGCGGCTCCTAAACGGTGGAGGAGGATAGATCAGATCCACCAACCATATTCATATTGATTGCATACAGTAAGGAAATAAGTTCTGAGTTATGAGCAATTCCTAATTACGCGCAGCACCACCGCCTGATCAACACTTTGAGAGTGAGAGAGTGGGAGAGAGACAGTGAGAGACAGAGATAGAGATAGAGAGAGAGAGAGAGAGAGATCATGCGAATGCAGGGCTTTTATGTGTGTGTGTGTGTGTTCTGGTGTATGTTCTGTGTATGTTTATGTGTGTGTGTGTCTTATGCGCGCCTTGTTGTTCGTGCTTTGCACGTTTGTGTATGTGTGTGTGTGTTTCTTTGTGTTTGTGCACGTTTGTGTGTTTGTGTGGTGTTTGGTATGTGCTGGTCTAGCAGGACAAGGAGGATGGTGATGAGGGTGAAGAGGAACAAGAGAATGAATCCACTGCTGCATCCTATCAGCCCAAGCTTCTCGAGCTAGCCAACGAGTGGTCGCAGGAAATCCCTGCAGGCAAGGAGACAGGTATGCGTAGGAATGACAATAACCAAGGAACTACAAGTTACACTAAATGTCCACTGACACCACCACCAGCTACTAAACAATCAGCTCATCATGCGGCGATAACATTGCATGACACTGACCGACGGTGCTGACTTACTACTACTACATTTATCTGCCAATCACAATTGCGTAACTTGTGATTTCTTGATTCTTTGCTTTCCTATTTTTGGCTCTCCATCAGAGTCTATCTATGTACTTGTATGTATTTAGTTCTATCCGCTGTCAACTGAACACCAGCGTCACTCTTAAGCTGTGTTCCCAACTGGAGCATGGACGCGGTGCGCTTGCGGTTCATGCGTGCCCAAACGCACGCTCAGGCTTTCACAAAAACAGCAATTTGATTTGTATTTAGGGCGTGCGACGCCTTCGAGTACTAAAGTTTTGACCCAGCCAGTCAAAGTGACTGGCATGTACGCCGGTACGCGCCTGATGCGCGCTGAAAATTCCAACATGTTGGAATTTCCATTTCGGCGCGTTTCCGTACGCATGGTGCCCCAAAAGCCAGCAAAAATATGCACAAACGCGTGGTTTCATGCGTACACGCGCCAGTTGTGAACACAGCTTTACTATTTGTCATCTCGACATAATTATACACTGTTGGCGCTACAGTATGTGCTTGTTGGAGTGCAAACCATGTTCATTACCCATACTAATATCATCAGAGCATGTTCACAAGAATTCCCTCATATGGCATGCCTCCTTATGCTTATATTTTTCATCTATTGTTGACAATCTAGCCGTACGGTTAGAGGAGAAGGCAGAAATGCCTGTGTATCTGGTGAAGTAAAAACTAACCAACAAACAAGAATGCAGGCTGTGTTCCGAGCCACTCTGGGCCGTGTTTAATGTTTTTGGTCTTGTCTCTCTCTCATGTTCAGACTTCAAGTCGCCGTTGCACAACGGCAAGGATTATCGTCTGCAGACCAACCGTAATGTGGCTGATGAACGAGATCAGCTGTATGCATTTGTTGGTCGTCAGTATGACACTGCACCCATGCAGCGTCTGCCGAGCAAGTCTGTGCAAGCACTGCGTGTGCAGGTGGAACGTGATCGCCTGGGTAGGGATGTGCGTGTTTGTGTGTGTGTTTGTGTGTGTGTGTGTAAGTGTGTGTACTACGTATGTGTGTGTATGTGTACATATGTATGTGTGTGTGTGTGTGTGTGTGTGTGTGTGCGTGTGTGTGTGTGTGTGTGTGTGTGTGTGTGTGTCTGTCTGTCCTTTTGAGTCTCTCTCCCCTCTCCCGGAGAGACCCACGTGACCAGTTTTGGCAGTGAGCAACAAATAAAAGTACAAAGTCTGTCTGTCGGTGTGTCTGTCTGTCCTTTTGAGTCTCTCTCCCCTCTCCCGGAGAGACCCACGTGACCAGTTTTGGCAGTGAGCAACAAATAAAAGTACAAAGTCTGTCTGTCGGTGTGTCTGTCTGTGTCGGCGTGTGCATGCGTTTTGGCAAGGCAGTGGTGGTTTGTTGGAGCGACTGTTTTATCTTCTTTATGTAAGCCCAGTATGAGTCTTACACTCCGGACCACACTGGGAGACATGTGGTGGGTGGACTTGTGTGGACAGAGGCACGCAACGAATAAAATTAATACAGCGAAACGCTCATAAGAAAAAGTACTCCAACGTGGAACAGGAGGATGTGATTAGTATCCGAGGTACAGTTCTTATACTACCCTACTACAGTATGAAGCAAAACACCTGTGCCCCAGGCAATACCGTAAAATCTAGGGCTGAAACGATTATACCGAATAATCGAGTACTCGTTTGATAACTCTAACGATCGAGCAATCGTTTAGACTACCGATTACGATTATTTTGCGTCTTTTAAATTTGTGTCCAGAAAGTACGGTAAACCCTCGTTTTGTGAAGTTTGAATCAGTTTCCGCTGGGAGTATGCAGTTGCCAGGGGTATAGTTCATGTTCTGAGGTTAAATTGACTTCAAAACTGCCATGTTTCGGAGCTACCCTTTCACTAATGCAGATTTGTTGGTATTATGAAGGCATAGTTTGTGGAAACAGAGTAATGTTTGCACAGAATTATGACACTATTTGCTAACGATTATAATCGATTGCTCGATCGTTAAGCTAAAGAGTAATCGATACGTGAAAATCCACGATCTTTTCAGCCCTAGTAGAATCCCGCGGATAAGCCCACCCGCGTATAAGCCCATGCTCGCGCATAAGCCCAGGGAAAGTTTGAACATCGCGACGCTTCGTTGTACATGCCCATGGGCATATGTCCTACCATGTACCACGTACATGTAGGGTTTCGTTTGTTTGTTTTGTTGTACATTTCAACACAATCATCGGTTGTTTTTGTTTGCACAGTGATTTTCACCAATGTACTTCTCACTTCCTTGATACTTTCAATAGCAAAATTTTGGTGTCGGCATATAAGCCCATGTCCGCGTATAAGCCCATGTTCTTGTTTAAGCTCACCGAAATGTCCATGTGCAACAGATAAGCCCGCAGGTCTTACCTGCGGAACTCTACGGTAGTCGTACTAATCATTTGTTAGTCTTGTCAAAGTACACACTCGGTGAGATGAACTGTTCCAACACAAATTGTGTAATGTTTGGCATTCAGCCATGACTGACAGTTGTACATATTTGTCCGCCTCTGCTTTGTGCTTTCATCTTTCTCTCCCTATGGCATGTTGCCATGGTGAATGGGGAATTTCCCTGGCCTCCATACAACATGACTGCACCTGCAGTCGACCTGCCAGCCCTGGAGGATATCGCGTAAGTCGCATAGCTGTATACTAGTATCATTGATGTCCAGTTTAGGTCATGTTGATTTGAACCAGGAAACTCTACACGTCTATACTGTCAACGAGCAACGAGGTGTCTTAACCTTAATTTGGCCGTCACAAGAATTCAACCTTGCAACAGCGGCTCTTGACTCCAACTGCCCCGCTGCTCTCTCTGCTCAGCATTGTTAGTCTACCACATACATATACACACAAAATTGTCGTATTTGTTCATCGATGCATTAACTCCTCCTGTAGCCCCCTTCTTCAACAATTATTCACCCGAACGGCCCCAGAGACTGTTCCGGAGGATCAGCGCACCACACGGGGATAAGTGTCGAACTTGCTTCAAGTTCCCTTTCTTCGTGGGCCTGCGGGACGATCGACCATGATGTTTCGGGGAAGCATTCTCTGGAACGCTCTCCCCTCTGATTTTAGAGTGATAGGTGTCCCTGGTCCCTTCCGAAAAGCTCTTTCTGCCATTGATATACTTACCTTGTGAATATCCTCGTTATACCTTTATTATCTGCCATAAACTCCAACCTTCTCGTCTATCAATCATTTGTGCATGCATGTCTATAAAATCAACCACGTATTCCTGACTCCATGAAATTGTCTTTCTATTCTTTGACTCCATGAAATTATTGTCTTTCTATTTCTGACTCCATGAAATTGTCTTCATATAATTTTTTCCTTTTCTTCTTTTGGTCCTTTCTGTCTTATAATATTATCATTTCTTGTTTTCCCTTGCATATCATCCCTTCATCATTCTGTGAGAATGTGTCCTATGGGCAGGTGAGAAGGCATCTATGCCTGTTCATTTGGTGAAGTAAAATAAACAACAACAACAACAATTCAGCGGTGCCAACTTTGTGCCAACTTTGCACCATGGCGGGCAACTCAGCTTACTTAAAACTCGTAGCTGTACTGATGAGGCCCTTATGGCCGAAATATCTTGCTGTCTACAGCATTGGACGTCTTTACTGTCATAATTATATTGGATGTTTGCCGAAAACTATTTCCGTACAAGGTGTGTTCTGTCTTCTGTGACATCATCAGCTAATGGCTGCAGGTGAATTATGTTCTCTGTGTGTGGTTTCGTTCTCTTGTCAGAACGGAATTGGAAAACTTTGAACACATGTGTCAGGAGGAGGATGATGAGGATGAGGACCACAGCAGTGAAGAAGAGACGAACAACATCGAAGAGGAAATCGTCACAGCACACACCACCAATCTCATGCAGCTTGGCCGCGGACAAGTCAGGAAAAGGAAGCATTTGGGTAAGCCTCCCCCCCCCCCCCCCCTCGCCTCCCCGTAAGGCACCTTCGCCCCCTCCCCCCCCCCCCCCCCATAGGGCACCCCTTCCCCCCCGATAAGGCACCCCTCCCTGAAAAGGCACCCCTCCCGGATAAGGCACCTCTCCCCTGTAAGGTACCCCTTCCCCGGTAAGGCACCCCTCCAAGATAAGCCCCCCCCCCCCACAGCAGCTATCCAGCCAAACAACAAAGTGAGGATGTATGGATATAGATCATAGAATTGATGACTACATTGGAGTCTTCTCATCTTGAGAACAACGAACTGTGAAGAGATCCTCTCCTCGTCGGCCTGAATTTGCGTAGTTTTGGAGGAAGTATGTGTGAATGAGTATCGTACATGTGAACACTCATCTGTCAAGCATTTGTGTGTGTGTCTGTGTATACGTATATGTCTGTATGTGCGCCACGCATGCATGTTCAGGTTCGCTACCCAACGGGCGTATGCTGCTCTCATTCCACTCCACTGACGAGCAGTTGACCGTGAAGGTGGTCAAGATTGCAGAGATGTGGAATTTCTCTTCTGGAGGTACGGTGAAACTCCCCAGATCGGGGCAGATAGGGACAGAGCACAGCCCCTACTCCCCAGATCCGGGCAGGCTGGGACAGAGCACAGCCCGTAACTAGGAATTGCCCGCAACTCAGAACTTGCATACTTACTGCATGCAAGTAAAGATTTTATGCTTATCAATATGACTGTTTTTTGACGACGTTATTCGTTGAAAAGCCATTTTGTATGACTCTAGATGGTTCGGAAAGGTGCCCGGTACACGAACGTGCCTGGATTAGGGACGTCCGGATCTGGGGAGTTTTGCATGTGCTGGAACGAACGGCCTAGTCGAAACTGTAATCGTCTGCGCCTCATAGGAGGATTCACTGGTTTGAGGGAAAGATGTAAACGGGAAAAGTCTGAAGAAAAAATTGCATAGGAATGAACAACGATATGTACGTGGAACAGTACGAAATGCAGTATGTGACAGAAAATAGGAGAAAAGAAGGTGAAGTGCGAAAGACAAGAGCAGTGTGAAACTAATAGCAGAGGTGGGCAGGTGAGAAATAATAACAATATGAGACTCAGAGAGGGTGAAGTGTAAGGAGTACGTGCATGGGTATGTGGGTGGGTGCATGTGCGTGCGTGTGAATGCTAAGAGAATAGTCTAAAAATTGCATAGGAAGAATTTTAACGATTCCTGTTTTCAGTGTTTTTTGTTTCTCTCTTCATGTATTGTTGTCTTCTTGATTGGTGGCAGACTTGGCGGTTCGATCATGTTTGCTTGTCAACAAGCAGTCGTTCATGAGTGTGAAGTCAGCGCCAATGCCTGGTGCCGAAACAGTCGATCTCAACTGGACGCGTACTTATCAGAAGCAGGCCAGCAATCGTATTCTACAGGTACGCGTGTGTGTGCGTGTGTGTGTATGGGTGTGTGTGTATGTGTGTGTTTGTGTGTGTATGGATGTGTGTGTGTGTGTGTGTGTGTGTGTGTATGTATGCATGTGTCTATATGTGTGTGTGTGTGTGTGTGTGTGTGTGTGTTTGTGTGTGTGTGTGTGTGTGTGTGTGTGTGTGTGTGTGTGCGTGCGTGTGCGTGTGCGTGTGCGTGTGCGCGTGCGCGTGCGCGTGTGCGTGTGCGTGTGCGTGTGCGTGTGCGT